GCGATCACGAACTCAGATGGTACCGATCAGATGCTGCGATGAACCTCGAGAATCTTTAGGTTTGATAGAGGAAACACTCGACGGTACAAATTATGATGTGACAATGCGACAATAATAGTGGGGGAATTCGTACTATCTATGAGAAATGTAACACACAGTAAATTGTGCACTGGGCTTTGAGATAAGATAAGCTTGTACCTCGTCACATGTTCCACCAGAGTTCTTGTCCGCGTATGTTGCTCAAGATATTTCCTGGTTTTTAATCTGTGGATTTGCTGGCATGGTATCCTTAAAATTGATATTTTCTTGAGGCATCATTTGGGCTGCTGGAGATGATGATTCGTGAACAGATCAGATCTCGAAGATTGAAGTCGCAATCCTAAGTAATGCAAGATCGACAAAGCCATTCTATGCATCAGCAGAAGACATCTTGTAAGACGTGCATCAGAAAGTTTATATTGCTAATGATAGAGTACTCCTGACGTTAATTAACATTGTTCTACGAGCACAGTAAGCTCAGCGAAGAGTGAAGCCACAATGCTGGAATGCAACGCAATGCATTATCGGTGACGGATGCATCAACGGTGTTTATAGAAGCTTATAAGAGTATGCATCATTATGGATACACATGAATGTTTCTCTATTATTCGACATGAATCCAATTCATGAAGCTTATTTTTCAGGGTAAATTGTTGAGAAGAACGTATTTGATAATTAAATAGGTCTAATTGACTTGTGATCTTTGATGAACTTCTTCTTCTTGATCATTTATTCGATACCGCTCGAGAATCGTATTTACACCAGCTTGTTATCGGAGTATGAATGCACACATGGACATCAACACGGCTCTTTAAAGATGTGATGATATGATTGAGCAATGGAAAATTGCTTGTAGGCTGTTCCATCAGCATAATGAAGCTTTGGATGATTTATCATGTATGCATATGCAGTAGATTTTAATTGGCAAGTCTAATCCTACTGTTTTTTAATGTGTTCTTCGCATGTCCAGTAACCTAATTCTAGGCTTATCCTAATCTATTGCGATGCCTATAGCTAGATTAAGGAATGGTTAATGTAAAACATGCAAATCTAAAGGTTTTTACTGTGGCATGAAAATATAGTCTAACCTCACATAGCTATATCTATTTATCTTTTTTTTTTTTGTATATATGTAGTTCTTTCCTCGCTAGATTCCAATTGATATGTAAGAGTAGAATAGGAACGAAATCAAAGAGGACTATGCGGATTATATTAAAGTATTTGCAAGTAAGTTTAACTTAGGTTTTCATGCAAATTAAGGATGTATGCTTGACATGCCCTCATCACAATCATGAAGTCTATAAATCTTGACTTCCATATGTAGTGTTGACAATTTACGGTATCCCATAGTCAACTGGATTGGAGAAAGTATTAAAGAGCTTCTATTAACACCATTTAAGGAGATCTTTAAGGTCTGGGAACGTTGAAGTTATCAGTTCCAATGCATCATGTCACCGCCGATCATGTGTTCGTCTAATAATTCATTTCAAAAACCAACAATGGCTGGAACATCATCAGGTCAAGCTGAGTTGTCCTTCACATTATTTGGAAGACGATCTTTTGGAATCGTATCATTTATTGGTGGTTGAATGTGTCAATTATCCATGCGTGCTAAACAAAGATGGAGAAAAGACAAGATAGGATAAAAGAGGCAGCAGCAGGCTTCCCGCTTATGTTTGACAACTTGTTTCCTAGAGGACGACACGGCTATCATGCCATTGGTGCAGCAATGAGAGGAGAGAGAGACTCATTTATGTGGAGCAATTCGACAAGTTCTTATTTCAACTCTTCTTTTATTACAATATATATAATTTTTCAAAATTATTATTTTTCATAACTTATGAAAATAATTAAAGATCCTTTTAATTCTTATATCATAATTTAATTTTTATAGATATATCACATAATAATCAGAAATAATGTGTCTCCTTTCCCATTGAGATATTATCAAAACTACTAAATATGATTATTTTATGAGTTCATTAGCAATGATATTAATATTATATGAGAGTTCGTTAATATTATTTTGTTCTTCGTCTTTATCAAATCATTTAGTGATTCGAGAAATAATAATATCTCAAATATAAAATGATAAAAGAATACCAACCCATACTTTTCAATATCAAAATTTAAATT